AAATAGAAGGTGCAGAAAAAAGAAGAGAAAGAAAAAATTAGAATATAGTGAAGAAAAAGAAAAAAAAAGAAATGACTTCCCACTTCATCACAAGTATAAACAAATCTAGTAACTTATCACCTTCTCATAAAATACAACAAATGATCTCTTCTTCCCATATCCCATGTCTTATCTATAAACAAATCCTTAAAGCCTCCTCATTTCAGTCCTGATGTCAGCAATTTCACAAGTGTCATGATAAAGTGTTTTGATCCTGGGTTGTAAGTGGATATTGTTCTAGTTGGCATCAGGCTCTGTTTCCATCAAACATATGTTTTTTAATGAGGACAGAATTAAAATCATGTTGATCTCAGAACATTAGCATTTTATCATTCAGAATTTAATGAAATGCATTCATTGGAATTATACACAGAAATATATGTAGCTATTCACAAGACTGCTTTGCAATTAAGACTATAACTGGTTTTTTTAGCAGAAAATAGTTACCCTATTTAAGACACATACTCAAGCTTGCACAGGATATTGCTTCAGGGGAAGTGCCACAATTTCCACAACTTTGCAGCATTTCAAAAAATTCCATCTAATCTTTTTTTCAATATATTTGTCAGAGAATCCATTAGGTGTAGAGAAGAGCTAGAGTGAGTAAGGGATTTGTTTATTTAATATTTTAGGTTAGGTGGAGCCCTAAGTGTTAAACCACAGTGAGAGATTTCATCATTTAGCCAATCACTAATGTAAATACTGACCCTTTAATACTAAAGCATAATTTAATGGTTTTTCCTAGACTTCAGGTGTTTATACACTAACTCAGGTCTAGCCTGTATGAATAGTGACATTGTTGGTTAAGATGAAAATCACTGGGTGTCACTGAATAAGAGCCACAAAGTGAAATATTGGTCTTTTATGAAAGAAACTTTGTTTAAATCAAAGCAAGAGAATCAAAAGAGGATTCACATATTGCACTAAGCCATCAAGCACTTTCTTGGATTCATCCTACTATAGTACCATGTAACAATGACTTGAAGAGACTAGTAGGTTTGCCTGCCATGCTGAGGGCGACACTGAAGGTGCAGGGCCAGGATCTAATGGAGACAGGTGTTGGGGGCTTTTAATGGATGAAATGGGAGCCTTACGTCCCTGCAAGCCTCAACCAACCACCCGCTCTCAAAGGATCAAATCTTTTGACCTTATCCATTCTGGCTTAATATGATCTGCGAACCTAGTAAATGGCTTTTATGTTTATTTCTATGGGGCCTTTGGCTTGTTTTAGAAGACACAGCATCCATTGTAAACTATCTTGTAGAATTTAGGCATACATATTATATATGTGACTTTTTTGTTCCCAATCTCAAATGAAAAACATAAGACAAATTCAATGAAATCACCTTTAAATTCATTAATATAATTTAAATGAGAAATCTCAATCATTTAATTACCACAATGAACTACTTCCTAGAATATAAGTCCATTCATATCCACTTTCCATTTAGATATTTTTAACATGCTATAGCAGTGCTTAAGGGCTCTTGCTAGGAATTAGCACTATCAACACCACACTTAAATATGAGGCAGGCATTTTCAATTACATGAAAATCCATTAAAATGTTTAATCAAATTCTACTCTGCAAAAAATGCCTTTTAATGTTTTCCACTCTGCAGAATCTACTTTACAAGACATGAGGAGCTCCAAGCTCTTGAACTACAAAACACCAAGTCTGACAATTTGTCTACTCCTTCATCACAAAAAGGAAGCTAAAAGTGGCCTTCACAAGATGGATTATCCATCCCATCACAGATGAAGCGCCACTATTGTATGATTTTTCCACATGTCATAGAGAATTTTCATGCCTGGACTAAGTCATCTCATCCTGCAACAGGACTGTTTCACAATTAAATAACAGTACATATTCCATGAAGAATCCGTCTCAATGAAGCTGTTTAAGCTTACATATTCTTTCCTTCTTAAGATGTGTGTAGGTAATTTAACAAACTACTATAAAAAGGTAATTTCCTAAAGCATACTCTTTTAACAATGGTTATATTCCAATATTTAATCCTTAGTTTCTCAGGAATATTCTCCTGGGAGATACGCCAAAAAGCCTTCTGCAGAATCTTGTTGTGGCTTGCCGATTATTACAATAGCACTTCTGCCTGAACATGAACTTACAGCTGGTTAAGTGGAGAATATAAACAAGGATCTGATTCATAGGATTAATGCTACAACACATGCATTTTCTAATTTCACTTTTGCCTGGCATAATTCACTGAGAATCAAAATCACCCAACTGAGAATCAACCAATTGTTAAAAAAGTAGCACATAAGCAAACATTTTACAGAATACAATGATGTCCCCATTCACCTGTAGCTCTCCCAATGCTCAAGTGAAATATATATTTCTGTCGTATCCAATTACATCTGGATCTCAGACACCTCTGAGAAATTATTTCCTATTTGGTACCAAATGGGTAATTCATCAACCCATGGGGAAGTAGATAAGGTGTTTAGAGAAATATAACCTATAACTTTTCAGCTTGATCTTGATATTTTGTGCTGACACAAGCTAAATGGAGTGAATGATTGGATCTAAGAGGTAAGTAATACTTCTCTGAAATAGGAATTTGCTTCAAAGATGATGGTCATGAAGACCTTTTTGTACAATCCTTGTTTGGCATTAGATAACTGTCATCCAGTTCAAATATCCTTTTTTGTTCCCTTGCAAGATAACATCCATATGGTTTCAGATATTCCTGAATTACCTTTTTTTTCTGGAACTATTTAAATTCTGACATGCTATAAAGACAAACATTTATTTTCAATCTCTCTACAATTTTCAATACCACTGATATTTAAGTAAAGTCTTCTCAAGTCAAACTTGACTCCTGATGACTTCATGAACATGTCTACATACTTTTCTTGGCAATAATATGAAAATGGCTTGCCACTGCTTTCTTCTGGGTTGTTTATAATTCTGGTATTCCCTTGTGGGCTCCCATCCAAGAAATAACCAGACCCAAACCCACTTAAGCTTTTTCAAGATTAGCCAAGGTCAGTTGGATGCTTCCTCAACAGGAAGTGGACACATCCATGCAGTTTTC